TTTGTTAAAATCTAATACAACTTTCAAAGGTACACCATGATAGCAATGACTGTTGCGTATATCTCGATCCATCTCATCAATAAGATATCCTTCGAATGGGACGTTTCTGTCTTTATCTTTAAATATTGATTTTACTTGAGCGAGAGAAAAATGCACAATTTCAGGTCTTGAAGTGAATCTGAAAAGATAACACATTTTCATATCAGTATCGTTAAGATATGAAAAATCGCCTCGATCACAGAAACCATTTTGAAATATCCAGTCGGAAAATCTCATTGTACAGAGGTCACGCATTTCCAAGTTTGCACATATTTCATCGATAGTACAGATTTCACTGCGTTGAATACAAACGGATGAAAGAGTCTTTCGATCTTTACAGTAGAATCCATTATTATAGGTTTGAGTATTATATCGACATAACTGTGGTTCATCGGTGGCACCGAGACAATCAATATTGCCATCATTACCTTTGTCCATCGAGAGACACACAAATTTACGTGTCATGGGTAATAGACATAAAAAACTATGAGCTGAACAATTCAAACCCAATAAAAATTCATGACAATCAACTTCATCAGCTCCATCATAACAATCCCAATAACCGTTACAACGAGTATATGCATTATTACACATCCATTGATTACATTCAGTTTCATCTGTATAATTTTGTCTATCAATAAGTATAGGATTTAAATCATTAAAACCATTACAAATTGTTGGAAATGATATGAGTTCTCGAATGGATTTCATTTCTGTATATTCATCAGGACATACAAAATGTTCGGCATCTAAATATCCACAATCACATTTCGAATCTCTCATTAACTTTCGAGAAATACATTTGTTTGTATTGGGACATATGAAATGCGTTGAAGATCGTTCTTTCGAACAAATTTCATTAGTTAAAATATTTTTTTGCCTATCTTCATCATCTCCATAATCACAATCTTGAAATTGATCGAAGATACGAATTTTTGCTATACATTTCGAAGAATTTAAACATTGGTACATCGTTCGATTGTCACATAATGTTGTATCATTCTGTAGAATTGTATTACATTTCGAAAGATAAAATGATATTTGATGAATGTATTGCCAAATCATTACAATTCCATTTGTATTTGAAATAACACGTGGAAGAATATCTTGAACACGACGACATAGACTATTATTAAAAGGAATTGTCTTTTGATTGGGATTAAAGCCACCACACAATTGTTCATTGTAACATATATATTCAGGTGCATTTAATCGTGCTTTCTGTTCAACAATGTATTGTTTTGTATATGCTAGATAGACATGACCAAAGGCAATTGCTACAGATGGTACATAAAACATATCCGGACAACTTTCATTAATTTTTTTTTGACAATGTTCTTTTGAACAGATATCTATACAATTATATTCCCAAAAATCAAAAATTGCAAGATAACAGTAAAGTAGTAACCGGCACGTTTGTAACATTGACGTATCCTGTTGTAATATCATGCGATCAACGAAAAGATACCTGCGATCACGACCTTCATAAAATGGACCAATATGACCAGTGCCATTATAAATAACTACTTCTTCGTTGATGAATAGTGGTCGCCGAGGATCGTACATTTCTCGTATAGTTGGATCCCAATCTAACTTCTCTTTCGTATCTGATTGATCAAGACATTCAACAGCAAATGCATTATCATCAAGAAACACTGAGGGTATGCACTGACCATTTCGACATCGATATTCGTTTTCTTTACATTGGTTCGTTTCCATTTGCCAGCAATGTTGTTCATCGACTCCATCGGTACATTGAATGAAACCATCACAAATTTGATTCCAATCAAGGCAGAACAATATTGAACCAAAACGACAATTTAAATGATGATAACATGATAATTCATCTCTTGCATCAATCCGTTCTAAATAGAAACCATGAATTAATTCGTGTACTGATGACAGTTTTTGCTTTGTTCGAAAAGGAAATAGATATTGACATTGTGGACCAAACCTTGGTGGTGTACAATTATAAAAAACCTTCGTCGATAAAGATATATTGTTTGAAGTTGATAATTGATTCAAATAGGATTGATAAGATTCTATAATGTCTATTGGTGCTGACCAATGATATAATTGTAGACTGGTTATATTTAATGCAGCCAGCTGAGAAAAATTAAATTTTTGATCTCGTGTATTTTCCTGAATCTTCCATGTGGATGGCCATTCACTCAAACATAATGAGATCATCTGGCGAAAATTTCGAAGAATAGGATACATTTCAAAATACATATACTTTATTTGAGGCTGAATTGACATCGAAATATAAAGACAGTTATGTTGTAAGTCTGTATTAATTTCATTAATATTTGTCCATTCAGTCAATTCAAAATTAACTGGATATGAATTCACATACGAAATTATAGCCATACAGCAAAACACAATTTTCACCAAAAACGTCATTATCAATCGATTGAAAACTTTAAAAGAAATACAAAATAAATACGGAGGGTGTGGGTGATTGGGTGTGAGTGTGGATGTTATTGAAATAGAGTGATTTACACT